AGTGATATAGGTCATATCTTGTTGAAATTGCAGGCCCTGGAATGTGAATGTCATAGGTTCAAAATATGGCCTGGGCACGGTCGGTTGTACCGCAGTGAAGACAGGCATTGCAGAGAACAATGCTGGAGGTACCCCGGAAACCGATGCTTGGGGGCGAACCACAGAAGGCATGCTAGGACCGTTAGACGGTATTGGAGGGTACCCGCATGAGATGAACGGGTTGGATGCAGGGACGTGGGTAGCCCCATCCGACCATGGGATCAACTCAGGGAACCCAGGAATTGCACTCTGCGGTTCCCTACTATTAGACCAGGCATCCCACATTTCCAACACGCGAAGACGCAACAACTTATTCTCTTCAGCAGTTGCCGTTTCTGTTTGTGGAATAGCTTGTATTGGGCTATCTTTGGGGTTGATAATGTGTAGACTGCTTTCGAAGGACATCAGAACCTTTCCTTTAGATCTTGTGAAGTAGGGATGGGAAGCCAGATTACTAACAAAAACCAACCACTTGAATAGAATCTGGCTTAACAGCATGCACAACAACCTTGTTAGTTTTAAAGCATTTAACAAATGGGAAATTGCACGTTGGGGATGCAATGCACCTAAATAGTTAAACGCTTCTACCATGTGTTTGTAACGGTCGCGTGTTTCACCCCGTCTTTTCAATGTTTGCACTCTTTTCTTCTATTTCCTGCTCTTTTTTTCTCTTTTATTTTTGTCACTCTTTGTTTTTTCCTCTTTTGCTTTGTCACTCTTTGTTTTTCTTTTTTTTGTTTGTTTTTCACTTAGTTTCTTTCTCTTTTTGTTGATTTTTCGCTCAATTTTGTTTATGGCTATGATCGCTTTCGATGGGGATTGCCTACGTATCATAACGTCGCATCAATCAAACCCTTACGTAGTTCAGGGAAATAAAATGTAAAATTAAAGCAAAGAAATTTTTAGGGTTCTCAATATTACATTAATAAAATATTTTTGGGTTTTTGATTACCATGACTCGAAAACATCAACAACTGATTTTGATAGGAAAACGTATAGACTCGAAGCAAAAACAACATACTCGAAATGGACGAAGGACAAACAGACTTAATGCGAGAAAAAGTAAACTACAGACTTGATGACTGAACAATTAAAAAAGGCAAATAACTCTCAACTATTATCCAGGGTCCCAGGTGACATCAGTCGATCATTGAGCGGGCTTGCCTGCAAACCCACCATGAAGAAACTCTAGGTCGGCCATGACGTGGCAAGTGAAAGACAACACTGAAGCAAAGAACATAGCTTTAGTCATACTCTCACATTCATGGCATTTCATCGCAGTGCAGCCAGCTATTTCTTTGATTCTGAGCTTAGTGGCACCTCATTCCAGGAGCAACCATCCAACATGTTGTTCTCGTGCTTCAACTACTCGCTCTGCCCTGTTGTTCTGGTTTTACAGGTTTACTACATCACCTTCCAGCTTGTTGATCAACGCATAGCAATGTTACCTTTCAGCATCAAATTCCTTGGACTAACGACCTAACGCCTCTTCCAGGGCACCCAATTCTTTCCTAAGGACGAAGACCTTTTCATCGTGATATTGCTTAATCTGTTGTGACAACTTCACACGGTCATTCACCTACCCTCTTAGTTGACCAATCTTTTCCTTGGCTTTTCCTAATGCCTTTTCGGTATTTTCAAGAATGACATCATAATCTTACATTTTCTCTAGCAAGCTGGCAATAGTTCTTTGGTCTTTCCGATTTTTGGTCATCACTTTAGAGGCTTTCTTCATCTGTTTAAGCTGAGAAAGGACAGCTTCATTCTTACGGATCAAACTTTTCTTTTCACCTTCAACCTCTTGCGCTTGTAAGTCATTCTCAAATTTGAGGTTTCTCAGTTTTTCTTCTAAGGCATGAATAGTCGCTTGGTATCCTTTTTCTTTTTCATCCCAGGCCAACCGTTCTTGGATTTTGTCATCAAAATCTGGAACATGCGACCTTTTTGCTGGCCTTTCGAGCTCGGGCTCAGGCTCATCACCCACACGAGACCTTTTCCCAAACCACATAGCATAACCCGGAACTACCTCACCTCTAGTAGGATCCGGCACCTGGGTATCATCTTTCAAGTACCGGCAATCATCCCAAATTTGCTGGATTAAGGTCTTGGGGAGTGGGGGATTCTAGGTGTAGCTCAATTACTTGCATGCTTAAATTTTCATCCTCAAGCACTATTAGGCACCTTCCTAGTTGTTTTAGAACTCTTTGTGGTGCATAAGGTTGGACGCTTCTCAAACTCAACAACAACAAATAACTTTTCAGGGCCGATATATGTATCACCTATCTTACCAGGAGCCATCCCAAAGTCCACTCAATTTGACTTGGGTTTAAAGATCTTATGTGGGATATCTATGTTTCCACCCCTTCTGGCAGTTGTAATCTTTTACTCTTTCTTCGTAGCTCCCAATGAGGTTGTTCTTCCTCGGGCCATAGCTCATGAACTTGGGGTGATGTTGGAGATGCTCAATCAACCACATTTGCAACAAAAAATTGCACCCTTCGAAGAACTTTGCCCCGGAATTACACAAAGTCAATGCCCGATAAATGTTTGATAGATTGATCAGGGCAAAAGTGTGATGTTCTTTGGTGGTGAGGACCTGTACGATCCGGGTTACGTGGGTATCAATTGTCCGCTCCTCATTTAGGAAGACTATAATTCCTAGAAATGCCACTATGAAGGCGAAGCAATGGTGAAAGAACAACACCCTCCGACTACATTGGTCTTTCTAATTTGCTTACTGATATTCAGAAGATCAAAGATCGATGCACAGAGAGAGCCATTGGGAATATGAGTTTTTGGTTTCTTAAATCCTTGCCGAATGCGGAATATCCAGTTATCTCTTATAAAGTGGGAGTAAGCTCAAAATCCGAGAAGCGGAAGACATTATGAACGGGATCCCAAAAGGTCACTAGTGCCTCAATCAAATCGTCTTGTGGTTTAACTTTAATAATATCTGTGATGACGCCCAGATGCTTTGTTACTCATTACTGACCATCTTACCCCAAGTCATACCACCACATCTAAAGCTGAAGTGGAGCCTAGTCTACCACTGTTAACGGCATGTTCTGAACAATGCTCATTTTGTACCTCTAGATGGTTAAGGTTAGGGTTGACAGTAGTTTCAAAAGACAAAACCAATGGATTCTTTTTGCAAAATAATCTTTTGTAAATTAAACTATTTTTATGAAAAGTCAGAAGGGGGTAGATATATGTGCAATTATGTCCAAGGAAAGAGGTGGCTATTTTTGCAACTATGGCCCCTTCGTGTTTCCAAGAAAGGGGGGGAATTATGCTAAAAGTGACGCCTAATTGACAGACACATTCGTTCTTGCGAGAATAGCCCTTTGACAATTTTGAAGATGTTTCTAAGGCTATTCCGACATAAACGGCTCAGGATGCAACTGAAGCTAGGTCGGCTTACTTATTTGACCAAAACACTGGACACATTTCTTTCTTTCTGGTTATCTTTTCCAAAAATGAGGCCGAACCCTATGTAGGTTGCCTACGTATCTCATATTTGGTGAGAATCAGACCTGCATAATTCGGTACAATTTTGATGGAAGAGGAGAAATATGACACTTGAAAATCGTGGCTCATTTTGAAACGACCTTTCTTTCCTTCTTCTTTTTTTCAAAAAAAAAAAAAATTTGACAGAGTTTCAGAATTTTTCAAATACTGGAGTTTTTAGAAATCGGATGAATTTTCTCTCTCCTACCTCTCACTTCTGCTTTTTCTCAATTTTCTGTACTTACTCTAAAAGTCGATCAACATACAAACCAGATCAAACAAAATGTAAAAGTAGCACATAGGATGCATCAGGATGGTCTTTTATTTTTTAGGTATACCTGTCCTAGATGGACCCAACCCCTGTGTTGAGTCCCCAAAGTCAAATGCGCGTGATGCAAACAAACATTCCTACTAGGTATTCAGGATGAGGCTATGTTATTCTAGGTTTAAATCCTAGGGGTAAGTTTTAGACCTGGCTTACCCAAGCGGATAGCTTGAGCCGAGGTGGGGGCAACATACCGGGAGCACGAAAGTCTACCCGGCCTAGTTACTTATCCAACGTCGTTCTATTTTATATGACCTCTAACAGAAAAGTGGGCCACGCGCATGAGTGCACCATAAATTCAGAAGACTCATAAGGGAGGCGTAAGAAGATAGTTTATACAGCTCAAATAATATCAAAGTGATAAATGAGCAAAAATTAGCACATAAGGCCCACAAATACAGTAATATCATACAATCAATATAGCCAAGTATAAATCACATTACAAGCTCGAATTTTGAGTCCGGAACTAGGAGTTCTAGATTTATTTTCCCAGTAGAGTAGTCAGAGTTGTCACACCTCCTTTTTGCGGGGAAAGGAGTTTTTCCAATTTAAGTGACATTATTTGAAATGGGATTGATTTATTTTATTTTTTAAGAGTCACCACTTGGAATAATTTATTATGGTGTCCCAAGTTACTAGATTATTTTATAATTCCAAATCAAAGAAATTTGACTCTGTTTAAAGTTTGTGAAATACAGAAGACCGAGTAAGGAATTCTGTTAACCCGGGAGAAGGTAGGCATTTCCGGATTCTGCGGTTTTAGTGCGGTCACTTTATAATCATAAGTTGGCTTAATTAATTATTAATTACGTATTTTAGAACCTATATAAGTTTTACCTTTTACCTTTTTTAATTATGGTGTTATGGAATTATCTTGAAACAAATCACGTGTGTGTAAATTCGTCTTTATTTAATGCGCTAATTAATATGTCACGAGAATCTATTGACAAATGTATTAGAGGCCACGTGACAACAGTGCTCAGCTTTATGAATTTGGCATGTAATATGGTAAACAATGAGATAATTTCAAACAAGTGTGTTTAAATCTAAAGGAAAACACATAATAGCAAAGTTACAATATTTAAAATTACTAGTATTTGTGGGCTAGGATAAAGAATAAAGTTGGATCGAATGAAACCTCAGTCCCATGTGACTTTACATAATACAATATACTCATGTCCAAAAATCATATTACAGTCCCAACATGAAAATTTATGCTTCTACTTGAGCAAAACGAATTACAATAGCTCCAAACACTTCTAATAAAATATTTTGGCTTTGAGATTTATAAATTTGACCAATTAATGGCCAAATCCATGAACGACTGTTATATCTGTTGCAACAGTGGCCTTTTCTCGTTATAAATTACTACATAAAATCACTTGAACAAAATATTATAAATGTATCGAGTCTAGAATTCATGTTTAATCAAATTATGAGATAAGAAAATTAGTACAGAGATTAACAGAGAAAACTCATAGTTTCACAATCTACTTTTATGTCTATTTCTCAAGTAATATAGCAAACAATGCATGCAAATTAGTTCATGTTGTTATGCTCACATGAGTATTCAACAGATCAATCCAAAATTTCAGAGAAATTAAAAGCTTTTCGTTCAAGGGAAGACATAAATAGATGAGTGTTTGGACTTACCATTTCAAGGCTAGAAAGTACTAGGAGAAGACCAAACAAAGGCTAAAAACATACTTGAACAGAGCTCAGCAAAGTTTTAGCAATCGACAATAGAAAATAAATCTTAAAATGACTAATTAAAGGTTGAGAGCTGCTAAACTGAAGCTTAGCTACTAATTGACAAAGAAACAACATAAGACAATTTCAATTACTGATTAAACGGCTTTAAAACCTAGGGAACACATGTAGGAGATGTCTTTGAATTAACAAACACAAACTAACTGTTTTTGAGTATATAAATCGACCTAAAACTTCACTATTTTTTTTTGTATTTCCATTTCCAGAGGTCTCTAAGTGTATGTAAACGAGTGTGAGTTTGTGAGTGAGATGAGATAAATGAGTGAATTTCGTATAAATGAGTGAAGGGAGAGTGAATATGAAAGAAATGTGTAGAGGATGTCGACAGATGAGCATGAGAATAAAATGAAAAAAATTGGGGAGTGAATTGCATGAGGCTGCAGAATGTCAGAGAGTTTGTTATATAGAATATTCCCATAGCTGTATTTTGTTATCTCTCTTTCTTTCCAGCCCCTTTTACTTTCTGTATTTTAATCCTTAAGTCCATTTTTGACCTAATTTTTACTGTTTTATTGCTTTCCATCCCTTACTGCCCTATTCTAGAAGATTATAAGTCAGTTATACCCAAGGTTCCCCAAGTTTCCTATTTCTTTAGACCCCTCAAGTTCCTGTTAATAACCCTTCTTTTAACCTTTTCCTTTTACCTCAACGCTTACTATCTTCTAACCAAAATTACTGCCTTCCTTCTCTTGACAGCATTAAGCAAAGAATTAACTAAACTTAAACTAATAAAGGTTAACAAACATAACTCAGCAGGAATCACCAGGTAATTAACGTGTTGATTAAACAAATATACCATTTAAGACCAAAACTATATAAACTTCAGATTCTGGAAATAACTACTTACAAAGCTAAAATAAATTTATTAGTGATTAATAATAAACCTAAGCATGTTGTCAAACCAAAATTAAAAATGAACTAATAATTAACAACTAAGACATAGAATACAACTCCAAGGAATGAAAAAAAGAAGTAGAGGATTACCATGTGAAGCACTGTTGGCCGCAGAGAAAAAAATTCCGGACGAGAGACGACATCGCCACATGAGCACTGGCTTATGCTTGAGGGCGTAATTAATGCTGTATGGGACGATGTTAGCCATAATTCGGCCAAAAAGACCAACCTTTGTGGAATTTCAGCACTTCTGGCCGGTCAATGGTGAGTTGGTCGGCGGTCGGCCATCTTGAAACGAGATGAAACCAATGACATTCTGTAATACTAAACAAGAGAAGTCGATTGGTAATGGTTTTAAGCCTTAACAAGCCAGAATTTGAGAAAAAATCAAAAAGGATGGATTTAGGTTTTAGGATTTCCAAGATCTACAAATTGAGAGATTCTTGAGGGTTTTGAAGGAAACGAAGCGATGTGATATGAGAATTAGGTAGGCATTATAGGGTGAAGATTTGGGGTCGTTTGGGGACTGCCCGCAGCCATGGAGCGATTTTCAGCGACAGAGACGACGGAGGGTGAGAGAGATGGTCTATGAGGTC